TTTATGAAGAACAATATTTTCTGCTTTTGTCAGAGCCACTACATATGGAGTCCTCATTCTGACATTATGCTTATTGCCAAAAATCATAGATGGATATAATTTTTTCCACAATTTTTCATCCTGCAGTTGTAGTATTTGATAGTGTCTTATTCACTCTCTGTCGAATTCTCCATTTTTGAAACTACAGACTAATTACTTAGGTGTCCATTTATCAAGCAGTGGTAAATGACCACTGCTATGTTCTCTGGCATTCTCAGAGGAGACAACTCTCCTCTCAGTGCCTGTTTATGTGGCTGCACTGTGCATGCATATCTTCATTGCCAATTATAACTAGATTTGAAAACTGTGGAGACGTTTTACTAAAACTGGAGCACTCAGAATCTGATGCAGCTGTGCATGGTAGCCAATCAGCTTCTAACTTGATTCAATTAAGCTTTGACAATAAAATCTAGAAGCTGATTTGTTTCTATGCAGAGTTGCACCAGAGCTTGCACTTTACAGTTTTAGTAAAGCTTCCTTGATTTGTCCTAACAAGATGTAGAGGCTGGGCTTCCTGCACTGTACATTAATGACGACAGACTTGGGACATGCTCACTCTAAAATTGTTAAAAAATTTGCAGTCAACCAATAATAATTGAAATTAATCATTTGTAGGTATGATGTGTTACTGGGAACTCATAACAAACATATAGTGGGATTTTCTCAAATTTTACCGCAAAATTGAAAATATGCTTTAAGCCACTAAGAGATCAATTTGTTTTGACAAAGCAACAGACTTACCATTCATCCATTCCTCAGATTTACAGTGGAAGTTATATGCGGTTGCCCAGAGTTGTTCGAAAGGCACCTTGTTTGTTATTGCCACTTGCAGTGAAGGGAATTGACTTTTCTCCCATTCCAATAATTCTTCTTCTTTATTAATAGCCTATAGAAATTGACCATGATTCATTTATTTAAACCAATTTAAAAAATACAAAACTTGATGTATATATAGGATTAATAGCACCTCAGGTTTACCTATTTTCTATTTGTTAAAACTATAAAATGTAACTGATTTTTGAATGTTTGTGGTGGCAAAAAGTTATTATATTTCCGGTTTCGTAAATGCTGCTGCCATTAGAGGGCTATGTGATGGTGAAATACTACCTGCTGCTGACTGGTAGAATGAGGAAACAATTGCTTAATCCTTCTACAAAACATAATGACAACTTCATCATGGTCTTGTCAGCGGGAACAGAAACACAAATCATTGCAGGGAAATATTGCAGCTATGCATACATATAATAATGTTTGAAGAAGTTCTGTTGACACCTGCATGATGTATACTGTATGCTCAAATGTTTAAAAATAAAAATAATCCATCCAGTCACACATGAAACTGGTTGTGAGAAACTTGTGCACATATAATTTCTGAATCATTTTATTAGTTTATGTACTGTAGTGATTTTCCATTTCAATTCATAATATTTTTGTCCCAGAATAGACCAGCAGAAGCTCTGCCACACTCAAGAGTTGATTTAGCAGCACTTAGATTTAAAAGTAATTAAAATAAATCTTGTGAAGGACTGAACCCCAGGATGCTGGCTACATGTTGTATCATTTTGGATTCATGTTTTCTTTTTCATTTCATCAGTGACTAACTCCAACATCCTACCAGATCCAAATCTGAATGCTGGCCACATACCCATATTCCTGTCATCATACACTGCATAATCGCCCCCAAGAGGACCGTAACAGCAGCATGGAAACAACGAGAACCTCTGAATCCTAACCTTTTCTTACTCAATTTAAACTTACAACCCCAATTCAAATGTATGTTTGCAATAACAAATTGCAAACAAGAGGCATTTTTTTAGCTACTGTAGAAGGTCCTCATGCAATAGACCCTGTGATGAATGCCTACAGTCATCAAGCATCTTAACCACAGAAGAGGAGCCTTGTGTTTCAGTCCCTATTCTGTGACTAAGATGCTGGATGACTGCATGTATTTATCATTGGGAATATTGTCTTGATTTTATTTTCTAATTAATGTATTATTGTGTTGTTGCTGTTTAGGAGGTAGCTCAGCTGGCCCCTATACAATAATTCTATGCCACTGTTGATGATATGCTACAAATATGCTGTGATTTGTATTGCAGATTACTGTCCCCCCACTATTCCTGATAAAGCAGACAATGACCCAAGGAAGGCAGTGAATTTTGGATATTCTGATGCATATTTGAATCAAACAATGGTATTATGCACTTTAAATACATAAAAAATAAAAATGAATATTGGGATATCCAGGGTGGATTTAGGTACAGTATATTAAGTTTATGTGGAACAGCAATCAAGAAGTGTTTTTCCATAATTCTTATGATATGAATAAAAACATGATTTTAATCAAGATCGTTGTGATTTAGTACCTAAAAGGTCTTCCAACTACAACATCCCTCATGCTCTGCTCCCTGATCCCTATTTCTGTTTCTATTCTCCACTTCTAGCACTTTATTTTTTCTTTCCTTTGTTGTTCCTTTCATTATACAACATTCCTGCTTTACACCTATGATATTTAACTAAAGGTGCATACAGTACTTCTACTCCAGATGCATTTTTGACAAATCTGTTCAATGTTCTTTTATGTACCTGCACACGATGTATAACACATAATCTAGACTCAGTGGATGAACAATTCTAGAATAGGATGGATATCTAATAAGTATATTAAATTTTAGCAGGCTGTGACTCACATGTGCACTTATTTTTTCTTATAACCTTTTTCCAGTTTCCAATAACACTAAGGCTTCTAATCTTCAGTTAAAATTGAATTTAAAAAAACTAATCTTCTAGCTTTATGTTTTAAATTCTAATAAGGATATATTGGTGAAAGACATATTCTGCACTGTAAAGTGTTCTCAGTAGGGATCAAAACCATTACTAATGGCCAGCACTAGCTCCACAGGGAGGGGAGTTTGATTTTTCCCATGTTCCAGAAGAGTCTACTTCCATGATTTCTCATAAGCTTTTAGAGAAAAGAGCTTTAGGCATTGAAAAGGAAACAAAGAGGATGAATGCCTTAGAAACTGCAGAGTTTGAGATAAATCCCTAAAAAAATCCATATAATGTGACAACCAGTACAGCTGTTTTCTAACCTTCAGAGTATTAGTAGGATGGTTAAAATGTATTGTTGATTAGTAGGAATTGTCAAATAAGGATGTGAATTGCTCAGTGTATGGGCAAACTAGAGAGGGGTTGGGGATAAAACAAATGGAATTTTACTAGCATATGTGAATGGTGATGACAATTTAATAGTTACATTTTCATAACAACTCAAAGGTTGCAGCGTTCATACACCACTGACCAAAGTTTGGTAAAGACGTAAACACACAAACCTCAAACTCTAGAAGTGCCTTATTCAAATTCTGATCCAGATCATTCAGTTTCTCCATGTTATTTTTCATTTCATCCAAAGTCATTGTCTCTCGTTTTCTAAAAGCCTCAATTTCAGCATTGTAGCCATTGAGTACTTTCTCAAAGTCTGAACGTCTGAAAAACAAATTGTGATACAGTGCTATTGCATTAATTACTTTAAAAACATAATCTCCATGTATGCCCAATTTGGTACAGTCTTATGGTTACCTGCTGCTTGCTTTTATCATAATTAGACATTATTGTACATTAGGTCATATACATTATCTGGATACAAATACAGTAGGCCCACATACAGTACACTCCTCATCTGACCACTTAGTCCCTACAATTACCATTAAACTTGCTAAATAAACACTAACTATTTTAAAGCTTAGTCTTAGCCTTAGTAAATGGATAGGAAAGTATATGCTTCCTGATTTCTGGTCTAGGCGAAAATGATGTCATTCATCCCAGAAGGCATGGCATTTTTTTCCTTTCATCTGGAGAAGGGGAGAAGGGGCTTTCTCAGCTAAGCACACTGCCTCCATTTATATTCTGTACTGACAAGTGACTAGAAGGGGCCTAAGCATTATAAATAAGCCACATAAATTTTTGTATTCTTTTATAATTTATAGCAATTGACCTCAATGATTGTGGTTACTCTGGGTGAAGAATGGTTCCTTTTTTATTTGCCTAGTGCTATATAGCAGGGAAGATCACATGTGAGGAAAAAAAACAAAATTTGCTTCCCTGTGCCTTTGAATATTTTGGTCTTTAATAATGTGATAACCGTTCCATTTTCAATCCTGTTTATCAATACCTGTCCTAGAGGGATTATTTCAGCCTACGTAAAGCCCATTATATCATTGTTGGTGTTTCAATTTATTGTCAGGTATGGAGAATGTCACTATTGGGAATGGTAGGAGAACACAACATTTCCAGGAGCTCAGTTGGAGGATTTTCTACAATTTTTTTTCAAAAGGCATGTGCTATATATAGGTTAAAATCTCAGCAATCACATGTTTCAATTCAAATAAACTTACAATAAACTCAAAACCTCCAATCAACACAAGGAAACACCGTAAGTGAATCTGTATATAAAAAAACAAAACAAAACCAAAAAATATTATATTTACAAATGTGTCACAATGTCTGTGAAACAATCTGTTTTATCTTCACATTCGTAAATGTGAGAATCTTCAAAACACCAACTAAAGTGTCTCCCAGCTGAGTTTCAAACTTATCAGAACTGTATGACCCTTTTGAAAGTTTGGGTCACATGGACATTGTTGGAATAATAATCCCTGAATTGGTTCTGCTTCACCTTCATCTCAAAGCTGTATAGCACACATCAAAATATTTTCAGGTAATACAGCTTATTCAGTGGTGCGGATTCACAGCTAACTGACACAGTAGTTGTTCAGTGGTTCATGTCAGGTTTACATCAGGCTCAGGTCAGGATTTTATCCTGTAAATTCAAGATGCAGCGCTAAAATTAAATTATGTCTGTTAAAGTAGATGTACATAAATATAATAAAGATATATGTTCATAAAGTGACAGTCCGTGCTAGGGTGCAATCACAGCTGTAAGTAACTTCAGTACTCAGTGATGTGCTCAAAGCTGTGGTAGGAATACGCACTCACCAGATGCGTATTGTTAATACGCATGTAATATGTATAATCAGAGGTCCCCTTTAAGGATGGATGAGGTAAGCCGGGTACGGAATATCCTCCCTCTGGATGGTATACAGCTCAATCAGAGGTCCCCTTTAAGGATGTATGAGGTAAACCGGATACGGAATATCCTCCCTCTGGATGGTATACAGCTCAACGGATATCTCCTGGATCTCCATCCTTAAAGGGGACCCTGGCAGGATTAGTCCTGCCAGAGGTCCTCTTTAAGGAAGGATGGGTGTTTGCAGCCAGGGATGGAAAATCCCTCCTCTGGGTCCTTTGGGATAAATTAGAGCGGAGACTGCGAGCCAGGCCTTCTCATTCAACATTAGTGCCTGACCTCACAAATAGTCAAACATTCCCATAAACACACTTCTAAAACCTTGTGGACACCCTTCCCAGAAGAGTTGAAGCTGTTATAGCTGCAAAGGGTGGGCCAACTCAATATTGAAAGATTGGGATGCCATTAAAGTTCATGTGAGGGTATTGGCAGGCTTCCCAATACTTTTGACAATATAATGTATGTGAACAGGCACCATAGGAAGCAATGTTTTTTTCACATGTCATGTGGATTGTGTGCGGTTCAAACCTCATCCAATCTGCATCCAATCCACAAATATGTGATGATCCATTTATGGCCAGCCTCACACTTGCTCTACAGCAATTCCATGCATATTTCATGTGATCTCATGCCCTCCCAATGAAAGCTAGGGAGCCAAAAATGTACATTGTTGAACAAAAAAAGCACATTGACACATGGAAAAGAAACGTGTGAACGGGCCCCATAAAAATAAAGGTAATCTTTAATAATAAGAATAATCAAAAAAAGTCAGGAATTATTAATGCATAAAATATCTAAAATGAAAATTGCATTTAGGGGAGCAACATTTTTAACCCATGGATGAGTTTCTTCCAGTAACTTCAAAGAAGGGTCTAGAAACAAAGTGGTGTGAGTAAAATCATATTAAAACACAACAGTATCATAGTTGCCCTGATCCCATACAGCAAGCCTTATCCCCTGCTAGGGGAATATTTAACTCCATACATAATGGGTAACCCCATACTCGATAACCAAGCTCCTTATATTGCACTGGTTGTGTTGAAGTGCAACATGTTTCCTAGATTTCTTATTCCCGCTTCCTCAGGAGCATTAGGGATTCAGAGCAACTATATAAATATAGTAAAGTTAATATCACCAAAACACTTAATAATTACACATCATATTCATTAGTTACATAATGTCCATAATGCCTTCCACATGTCAAGGAAGCTCCACAGAACTTTCACAAACATGTCTATAATGTTATTCATATTAAGGGAGACTATTTCTTAAGATATAAAAGAAAATTGGTCTAACCATAACTGAGTATTAATGGTAGTTACCTATGGTATATTGACTGTGTAAGAAGAATATCCTTACATTAATTATAGGGAATCCTTCCCAGAAGGCTGTTACAAAATGTGTAGTAGTTAAACTATATAAGAATTATACTACCTTATGTTTTAAATCATAATATAATATTTATATGATTCATCACCATTACCTGTTTGTCAGCAACTTTAGGGTCCCCTAAATAATTCTGAAAGGCCCAAAATATAGTGTTCTTATATTAGAGTGGGGATACTACAATCATTTTAATTATCATTCTAAATTCATAATTTTGCACTTATAGGACTTAAATTAGATTTATGGCAAGCTTTCAAAATATCTTGCTTTCTGATTAATCATAATTAATATAAAAATATGTGGTTGGCCTTGAGCAATTGATAGTGTCGAATTATTCATTTATAACTGAGTCAGAAAAATGTCAGAGTATTTCTGGAGTTAAGTTAACTAGTTGGAAGCTGAGTGTAACAGGAAAGTATTTAGGACATTTCTGTAGATGGGCATAGCTGGTTAGAGGATCTCTGGTGTAGGCTGTCTTGGGAGACAGTTGTGAACCAAAATACATACTGTAGAAATAGTGTAATAGAGAAATAATATATACATACTGTTAGTTAGTAATTAGCATGAAATAGAATATTCTAGTAGTATCTGTTCTGTATGTAGTTATGTTTTATAAGTTGGTAATATGTGTTACATAAGTAGATTTTTGCTTATACAACATTATTGAGATATTATGTTGTAAAGAGATTTTAAGTTATACTAGAGTGTTGCATGTGACCTTCTCAATCAAAAGACTATATATATATAGTATCCCCTCCCTTCAATGAAATTGATGTACTAAGAAGAATTGATTGCCATACAAGGTTCCCAGTTATGAGAATTATGAGGTCTACATGTAACATAAAAAGACATCCTAAGAGATGGAAAGGGACACACATCCACCTATTCATACTCATACAGACACTCAATAGGAAGGCATGAAGACACATTTGTACAGTTATTCACATACTGACAAGCATAAACAGGTGTATTCTCTTTTAGCCTACAAGGCGTTATTTCCCTTTCTCTTGGGAAGCTCAGACGCGTTGTTTAGAGCGGAAGCACATGGAATGGCACACATGCTTAAATAAGTTTGTTTCATTTTTATAACTTCTGTTTTCATATTTTTGTTTTACCTACACTGAACTGTTATCAATGATACTTTTTACATTGAATTTTTAATCCACTGTGTGATACAATAAAATCACACTTTATTTTTATTTTGCCGGCTATTTAATTAGAGTTCAAAGATGTTTCTTTATATTGTAATTATGGACGTTTATGGCAATACCTGTACAATGATTGTTTACAGGCCAATGTTCAAATCTAGATTTACTGTAAAAAGAGTAATAAGATATCTTATATCTTAAATTTGGTAAGAATATTTTTACAAAATGATTATTAATGTCGATTTACCTGCTAAAAGTGTTTGTACATTAATGCGGATAGAATGTAACACTGTACAGAACACAGGAATGCACAAACACGTGTCCCAAGATTCTCTTAATTGTCCAAAATGTGACATTTTTTGTAATTATATAGAGAATCTCAAGGAAAAATTTGACTCCAAAACAAGACTTTTTTTGAGACTAGAGAATGACAGTAAACAGGTTGCTATGATAACAAACACAGACGATAGAGTGGTTCAAAGTCAAAGCCAAAACTACAGTTGAAAATACATGACCTACTAATGAAAGTTTTAAAAGATATCCCTGCTTATGACTCAAAGACAATGCATTTTGCAATGCAGATGTATTAGAGTCCTATGCAGACCGTTATAATCTTTCCAATGAACAAAGGAATCATATATTTCAACTGTGGGTTCCTGTTAATTTGTTAAACGAATTAAGTCACCTGTTATTGATGACAGACAGGAGAGACATAGTGATGTGACAGACAGACTGTGACAATTGCTGTTATGTACAACTGGTGAGGAAGTACCTTCCATAGAAATGCTGTTACAGACTACTTCAGAAGAAGATTCTTTTGCGTTTAAAATTAAATTTTCCAAAGCACCTAAAATTATATTTGGTATAGAAAATGAGGAAGACTCAGGTATGATTAAAGCTTTTGTAAAGAAATGTAAGTACCTTGACCAAACATCATTAGCCATAGCACAGGAATGACAAAATTTGAATGAGATTGCAAGCTTCATTGATAAAATTTGGAGACAGTTGAAACAGAGCAATTTCACATATGAGGTAGCAGTGATTCAGCAGTCATGCCAGGAACTACAGGTTTCAGCAAGGATGACGACAGTTGCAAGCAAGTGAGTCAAGGAGAGTCTACCATGTGTTTTTACTGTCATAGACTTGGGCATATGTGAAGATAGTGCTGGAAATTTAAAAAGAGACTCACAAATAATAACTATGAAAACAGAAAATGAAAAAGCAGCTTTTGTAGAACCTGCTTTATTATATCATGTTAAAAGTTTGACTGAATTGCCTTACGCCCCAGCAGTCAAACAGATTAGTAATTTAACTAGCAACAACAGTTCAGACAATATGATGACAGAGATGGTTTATGCCATTGCCAAAATTAGAAGCACTTTGAGATTCACCCCTTCTACCGTTAGAATATGTTGCTCCAATTGTATTGGATGGGAATGGAAGGCCATACGTACAAGGCTTAGTGAATGGTAAAAAGATTACATTTTTGGTTGATAGTGAATCTTAGATTAGTCTAACCAGAGAAAACATACCTGTGAAACCTAACTCACCCATGTGTAATATAATGGGTTTAATAATACAGGTAATTCCACTGCTAGACAGATGTCTAATGTAACATTTGAAGTACCTGGGATTGTGAAAACGAACACTGACATCTGTTTTTTTCACAGTGCAGAGAATATTCTTGGCATTGATGTAACCAATAAACACAAGTGGATTATTGATTTGGGAAATACAATTATTTGGAAAGATCCATCTAGGCCCAAGTCAGTGTTAATTGATCCCTCTGTATACAGTAATGTTGGTTCCATTACCAATATGTCTACAGAACAAAAATGACCTGATACTGATGGTAATTGTGCTTTAAAGGAAGTGGTACAAAGTTTTCCAAGCTTCTGGTCAAAGTTTACAAATGACATAGAGACTTTAAAAAAATACAGAACTGAATATTGAAGGAAAAGATCCAGAACCTTTTAACCTCTTGCCGTCCGCCTGCTGTTTATAAACGGCAGGGCGGTGGCAGTCCAGGGGCGGGTTGCCGTTCCTAAACGGCACCCGCCTTTTCTAGCTGTGCGCGCTCCCTGGGAGCGCGCACCACCACGATGCGGTGCCCGCTGTGTCCTCCGGACACAGTGAAACACCGATCGTCGGACGGGACCTCTGTACGAGGTCCCGATCATGTGATCACTGATTGGCGAATCAGTGATCACATGCAAAGTAGTAAGCAAGATGTCACTTGTGACATCATTGCTTACTATGTGTGAAATCTGTGAATGATCACAGAGGTCACATGGTACAATGCTATTCACAACAGCCTTGTACCATGTGACAAGCTGTGACCAATCACAGCTCACTCAGTATTTCTCAATGACTGCAAGAATGCAGAGAGAGAGAAAGAGAAATGATTGCTTTTACATCCTATATGGGTGTAAAAGCAATCAGTGTAAAAAAAAAAAAAAAAAAATCTTCATCACCCCCCACAAGTAGTACAGTGTCACCATGGTGACACTGTACTGCTAGGGTGACAGTATGTAAAAAAAATAAATAAAAAAAAAAAAATAAATAAAAAAAAAAAAAAAAAAAAAAAAAAGTGTTGTTAAAAATTATATTTTTTGGTTATAAACTAATTTGGATTTTTTTTTTTTACTAAAAAAATAACGGAATAAATTTTGGCCAAGATTTATGATGAAATATTATTTATTTGCAAAATTTTATTTAAAAAAACACTTTTTTTTAAAAATTTTTAGACTTTTTCATTTACAT